AAACGTAGATAACGAATAAATGTACGCGTTTTCGCTGCGCCATTGCATTATCAAGCGCAACAATTGCTTACGTATTTTTCTGTGCTGTGACAGTAGATTCGTGGATGTGTGAGTAATCTGCTGATAACAATACGTTCTCTTTTAGAGATGCAAAAATATCGATTGAGTCAATATGCGATAAAATTCATCATGCCAAAACTAGCGATTGTGTAAAATGCACATTTATTGTGTCTGTAAGATGTTATCTTTATCTTTCCTCGATGATAGGACAGAGAGACTTGAAAAGTAACGTAAACAAAGTCTCGAACAAAGTTGCGTTAGCGCTAAGCATTCGTGCTTACCCTTTTATCAAATCTGTGAATAAGAGTTGCAATGTGGAAGATAACGCGCTCTCTCTATCTGCCCTTGCTTCTCTTTTAGATTAGATAGAGAAATCGATGACATCGATAGTAGGAATTGTATAACTACGAAATTTGTCATCTTTTGAAAAGTATTATCTACACCTATAATCTTTTTCTGAATGATAAAATTATGAATTTCCGGGATAACAGACACGAGTCATTTTCTTTGAAACGATAAACTTTTCGCACGTATCATTCAATCAATTTTTGAAAGATGTTTTTGCTCCAAATTTAGTTATAGTTTTTTATTGCAATTGGCGAAGGCGGTTTTATTAGAGATCTCTCTAGATAATAGATACATCACCCCCCCCCCCTCCCTCTCTTTCTCTCTCTTTCTATATATCTCGTACATAAACTTGATGAAAGCAATAACATGCGTTGACAATCACGTCTGTTTTGAGTGAGAAGCACTGGCACGCGCAGTTGCGTGCGATGACCACGCGTTCACCGCCTCCAAATTAGGTATGATTTACCTCGTGGCAGTGTTTCTCAACCGTGACATAAAGAGAAAGTAACGAATCCGGCATGTCAGGTGGAACGTCTTTTGGAACGAGAGCCAATCTACCTTGGCCTTGCATTAGCTCTACCTGGAGGTGTTCCCTAACTTTTATTCTATTGTCTCAAAATGAAGCTGTACAAAAAAAGGTTGTTATTTTTGTGCGATTGGTACTAACTTTACCCCCAAGATACAGCCTACTGATCAGTCATTTGTTGATTATACCTGAGTGCGAACAAAGATCTAATTGAATCGTGTCCCTTTGGTTGTCATTAGGTTCTTCTACGCTGATTTAATTAGCTGCCATTTCTGCGAGACAAATTCTCGTGAGAAAAACTATCTATATGAAACACGCGCGATTAAATCGTCGCTTTCTCTCTCTTTCTCTCTTCCCCTCCTACCTTCTTTCTCTTTAAACTTCTCGGAAATTGTCCAAACTTTGTGATAATTTGAAGATTTCTTGAAAAATATGCGAAACGATTTTAAAACAAGAGAAACGTCATTTTTATTATCTTATAATGGCTGTAATGATAATCGCGAGTAATATCATGCGACACGCATTTTGCCATTCTAACTATTACATTGCCGCGTTACAAAACGCAGTTGCCAGCAAGTCGAGCTTATTACACTTCTCCCCCGAGAGCACTGAGGACGATGGAATTTTCCCTTTCTCGTAATGCGCGCGAAAGTGCATCGCGGATAAAGGTGAGTGTTTACAGGGGTTACGAGGGGAGACAAAGAAAACGAGATATGTGAGAGGGGAGAGTAGGCTTTAGGTTTGCACGTTGGATGACGGAGGAGGACGGGGAAGGGCATAGCGCGAAGAAGCGCAAAGGATTCGACTTGTGAGTCGCCGTGCACTTCGTATCTTTTTTTTTTTTTTTTAACTTGTGGCGGAATCAACGCATGTATACGTGCGCATTTGACCACTTGCATGCAGAGTGAGACAAAAAGAGAAGGAGAAAGAGGGCGGAGTGGAGTTATGAGCGGCGAGGAAGGGAAAGATCTCGGAGGGTGGCGGAAGTCGGGCGACTCTGATAGGGGGAGGGGGGGATGGAGAAGTGCTGTAGGTATCCCGACGAGGTCGAATCGTCACGGGGTAGGGAGGGAAAGGTGCAGCGGTAAAGCGGCGCGAAACTCAGACGGGCGGGAGAGGAGAGAACCGATGGTGACCGTAGAGGTAACGCGGCGATGCAATGGTGGAGGACAGCGGGTACGCGGGTAGTGGTAGTGATGGTAATGGTGGTGGTAAACCTGGGTATCGCGCGCGTGTTCAGTCGCTACACGAGGAAAGGAAGGAGGGGAGGAGACGATCCGGTCACTGACTCTGAAACTACGGTGCGGTGGCCACTCGCGCTTCATTCATGAGCGCGCCATCTACTCGTGTACGCAGCTGTTATGTTTTCTTTCTCTCTTCATCTATTTCTTTAATTTTTTCAATAATATAGACATTGGGAGGGATTATTTGTATTAAATAGTTAACAAATAAAATGTAATGGGCGAATTTTACAAACTACATATTCCTATTCTACGAATTATGTATACACACAATTTGATTAGTAAGATTCTCCTTCTCCTTCGGAATGGAAAAGTTTAGTGAGTGTCCTCGCGCATGCAACTTTGGTCGTAATGCGGATCGTAATGGTTTAAACGCCATAATTCGCTCTCTATCTTCGCTCATCCGGTCTGTTATCCTGATGCGCGTGCTGCGCCGGCACGACGATGCGTGATTATACCTGATGTAACAGGCAACGTGTGTTAAACGACCATTTAAGACCATCTATCGTGCACACGGTTGAAGGATGCAATTCCACTTTATAACGTTGTAATGCGATTTTTTCCCCATATTTTACGCCGCTCTATATATGCAATCACTGTCTCTATGAGAGAGAAATTATACAATTTTCGACGTCACCCTCAGTTCGTTCCATTTATTTGTCTAATGAAAAATATGCAATTAAATCCCTCTACGGATTTCTAAATTTTTTAATTCATTATCACACATGTGATTTGTACAAACGATAATTTTACACATCAGGGGTCAGATTAGGGATATGACACAGGTTTAGAATCAGACTAGGTTGCGATAGATAAATTTAGTTTGTTATAATTGTGAAAAAAAGAAGAATGCATTTATTTCAAAAGAATCAATAGAATAATTATTATATTGTATATCGCGGCAAAATAAATATTAATGATAAAATCAATTTTATTTCTACACAAGATATATGGCTGACGTGGTAGCAACTTGGAAAATTTTATTTTGTAACAATGAATTTTCTATCATGTATGTGTGTTATGTATTTTGAGACTGTGAGTGATAGAAGGAAAGTATAAAATGTGCAGCAACGACCGGCGAACACGCGGACAAATCGGCCGCTGGAATACGCTTGCGCGTCGTCCCCGGCTAAATCCCCACCTTTTGCGACGGCCGCGTGGCGTTCTGATCAATCTACAATGTTGCCGGTTCTTTCGCGACTGTAGAGGGGTGGCGGGCAAGTGAATTGAAGCGAGACAGAGCTGCTTCGGCAAGTTTGATTGTCTCTCCCACCCTCGTGCCTGTTTCACGCTCGTGCGGCGTGCGGTCCCCTACCACTTGATTCCAACTCCCACCCCGTCGTGTTATCCGGACCTTTCTAGGGGATTCTCCTCACCTATCCTCCAATCTAGCACGTGGAGACGCACTTCTTTCAATTTTTCATACCTTATCGACCTGTGGATTCACCAGTCACCTTTACGATGTAAATGCTCTCGCGAAAATCTGAGATAGATAGAGTAACGAGATACAATCGAAGTACGTGCGAGAAGATGCGCCCCCTACGCTTGTGCGTGTATTGATGTTCTTATCGTCGCAAGGGAAAATAGAAAAATAATTTTATTTAAAGCACAAAAATTTGACTCGAAATGAAAAGCTATCCTTATCTTGTTTTATGTCTCCATCAGGCTTAACTTAATAAGCTTACTCGTGGTCACAGTATTTTAATATTTTGCGGACAATATTTTGTAATTTTTTAATTCTTTTATATTCATTGATGAAATATAACACACATATATGATGACAAACGATTTTTGTGTTCTCAGGTGCCAAATGCAAAAGAGAACGCACAGAGTCAGACGATCTCTTCTGTGAAGAGAAAATGCTGATCATCGATGGTGAGTAGTATCTCATATAGTTATTAATCATTCGATCATGCGTCGTTAAATTAAAAGCGATAAAAGACATTAATAATTTGAAAATATAAAATGAAACATATCGCGATATAAAGCAGATTTGTATGTATCAGAATTTTTGTTTTGGAAAAAAATCTTTATTACTAAGGAGAGAGCACAGTATGTTGGAAATTGGTCGTGGAGACACATGCCCGTAGATAAATCCGGCACTGGAGATCGCTGCAGTGCCCCAGATAAAACGTGCGCGACGGGTTCGGAGTTATCTCGAGTGCCAACGTGTCATGTCGTTACGGAAGAAATCCTTCGCGCGATAAGGATAGAATGATCGTGCCGAGTGGTAACTGAAGGCACAATTCTCGCGAAGACGGGGATGTCACTGCTCGCGGAAGGGATAGGAGGGGAGTTGTCGCCGCCGCCGCCGCTACTGCCACCACCGCTGTCTGGCGAGAAGGGAGGCAAGAGAACGTCATCCTCTCGGGCTGGAGGCGGCGGCACACAAGTTTAGATTTCAGTCGGTGCCCGCGACTCACGCGGTACGAGTTTTACTCGATCGTCGCAGATCGACTGGTCGCGATCGCCGAACCCGGAACGGAGTCGAGAACAGCTGACTGGCGTTCGTGGAGGTGCAGGCGTATCGCGATCAACGAAAAAAGACTTACGTATAAGTCCATGGCATGTATTGCCAATTGCAATTTGTAGAGTCACGAGTGACATAAAGTGCGAGATTGACTAGTGTGTTTTTTTTTGCTATCAATTGTTTCATTCTCGCTGCTATCTTCTTCCGCAAATTGCAAACCGTTTTTCGGATTCCGTTTCGTTTAGAACAACGTAAACGTGTAAAATGTATGAATGACGTAATGATCGACCTCGACATGGGTGCAGTAATTTTTATCAGAAAATTCACGTTAAAAGATGTTCTCTCGAGGATCATCTCTAAGGAATGAGGTGGATGAGCAGCAGTGCGACCCTCGCTCGAGCGGATTCGCAATTCCGCGGCGAACGGGTTTCGAAAGTTTGGATTTTTCCTAACGCGCCAAAGACTTTGCTGTTGTTAGCCCTCGTCGTATCCTCCCTTCTCTATCGCGGTCGCCGTCGTAACAGTAACCGTAACCGTCACCACCGTGGCGGCACCGCGACGCCGTCGAACCTCTCTCCACGTCGTACATTTCGCATTTCCGTGACAGTTTCTCCGCGCGGCCTTCTCGTCCACATCCTGGACAGACTTACGCGGCGTGGAACAGTGACAGTATTATCGGTTGTCGCAAAATCGAACGATTTGAGGACGACGACGACGACATTGATGACGACATCGATGACGACGTCGATATTTGCGATAGCGACGAAGAGGCGGATATAGCGTCCGGTCGATCGATTTTCCCCGGAGTGAAAGCTTAAACGAAGAGCAGCTTAAACAGAAGTTTCGGTCGCACGCGAAGATGGGTGTACTCCTGTTGCCAGATGGTATTACGTCGCCGGTAATGCAATCGCGCGCGAACCTAAACGCCGTCGTCGACGTCGCCGAAACGAACAACAATCTAAGCGGACTGAGAGACGCGAATAATCCAGCCTCGCTGGCGCCGACGCGGGTCGTCGGTATAATCGACATTGTCAACGGCAGTGAACCGCTGCAGCCGCCGCGACACAGTAGCGATTGGACGCCACCCCCGCCGAAGAAAAAATGGATACGGCACTACCTGCTTGGTGAGGTCCTTTTCGCGTGCGGCCTGAAATATACCTATCTTATTCAAATGTCACTCACACGTTCGTACCTCTCTCCCTCAGCTCTTCACATTTTGCCATTAGAAATTTAAATGATAAAATTTATGCTCTGAATTTTTGAAATGAATTGAGCATTATAAATGTTAATTGTTTGAATTGTTGCAACAGGTATATTCAAACAAATCAAATTGTGCGTGTGTTTGACTTTATTTCACGCATAAAATAATAAGAATTTAATTACTATCCGTTTATGCGATGAATATTATTTTTTGCTCAATTTTTCTTAAATGTCCAAAATATCAAACAGTCAAATCTTTGATTCAATCGAAAATTAATAATTCATCTAACAGATGATATTAATTTTTTCATTACTGTTACGAAGAAGTTGCGACCATAGAGTTGGGCTTTTGCCGAGTGATTTCACTTTTTGCGTAGAAAGTTTCCGCAGTAAAAAGAGTTAATTATTGACTTATATAATACATAGATCGATTATAAATGATTTGAATGTTTTATTTAAATATGTAATTTATCCAAAATATTCTGTTTATCATATATGATCAGTCTTAACTGTTCGAACATTTTTCGTCACAGTTAGGAATAACTTTAAAATCAAAGTTATATTGATGCTGGGGCGACTACCGTTTCAAGGATGAAATGGGATCTCGAAATCAGATCACACCAAAGATTTATTCTGTTGACTCTCGATTTTGAATCGTTTCGCAAACAAGATTCGGATAAATGGCGCTCTACTGAAATTTTATCTTTTGACGAGTGACCGATTCCCGTCGTGATTCTACTATCTAAAAACTCTTTGCGCGGTCAATGTTAAAACTTTTATCACAGCATTTAATAGCATATTTTATTGTTCCGAAAAGTTTATATATATGATACAGGCAAACTTTAATCGCTGTCATATATCGTCTGTCGCTGTTTTTTTTTTAGCATTCCTACCTCGGAAAAGTCGAAGCAAGCCTATATAGATAAGATGCATGTACAGTCATAGACAAATAGGTTGCGACACTTTTTTTATAGGTTTCTAATATATATTTAATATGTATAATATTTTATAGATAACTAATATTTTGCAAAAGTGAACCACGATTGATGTACTATCTTTAGTATAGAGACAGTACACCAATCGTAGTTCGCATTTGCAAAATATTAGTGCGTTACAAAACCTATAAAAAAAAAGTGTCGCAACCCATTTGTCCACGACAGATATTTTTGCTTGTATGCGATATTTAATCATGCTAGCGTAATAGTCATTCATCCAAATCATATATTTGCTATTGAATTATTGGAAAATGTCAAAATTTGTATCTTTATTCATCTATTATTACTAGTGAACACATTTTCTTAGATCGCATTTAGAGATAAATTGTGTTACTCCTTAATATGAAAAGAATATGATAAAAAAATATCGAAATTTTTCGAGATTTTTTAAAACATCGCAAAAGTAGAAGAAAGAAAAACTTGTTCATAAATTCAAGTTTATATATAAAAAAAAGCTGTTACTTTTTGTAATGGTATTTAACTACACGGATGTTTTTATCTCCTGTACGCAGTGCTTATAATTATCTTCGACACTCGCACTGGCGAAGTAAACAGCAGAGAGTATTGGCATGCATTTTCATACTGTTTTAAATGAGATATTCCACGCGAGCTACACAAAATCACGCGTCGAGCGAGCGAATGGACGAGCATGTCGACGATATATTTTCGCGGATTGTGCGAATATTTCGGTCGGAGCTGGCAGTGAAACGCGTATTCGCGCGGAGAACGTGGCAGAAGGTGTCTGCAACTATGCGGCAAACTGTCTTCAATTTTATCGAGACGGAAAGATGGGAGAGTGACTTCTCGGGTTTCATCTCACAGGCAAATGTCAGACGCTTCTATGTGCTCGCGTTGAAAAGTTATATTGTTATTCGTGAAAATTGCATCGCATGAATCTTAAAGGAACTGTTCCAAGCAAAATGTCGTTTGTTTAGATGGTTGCACCGATCTACCACTAATTTTCTTTTTTGAATTAAAGCAAATTAATTCAAGAGAAAAATATATCTTTTGAAGAAAATATTGCTTAGAAACAGCCTATATTTTAAATTTTTTCAAATTAGATTTATGTCGCCAATAGATTTGTAATGCTTTTGAAAATATGCCTTTACGAATTACATCATTTAGAAGGATTATTATATGGATCATCGACGATTTCAATGTATCGTTTCAAAAACGGCCACGGCTTTGATTAACATCTCATTATTGTGCTTTCCGCTTGTAGATCCGATTTCTTGCCGATCTCACACGGATAAGTTGCTGTCGCAGCTTCCATCGTTGTTTCTTCGAATTGACTGATTTGATTTTTTATTCTCCTTGCTAACTATCGATATACAAGGCTACATTCCAGATGAATATCACTTTCGCAATCCTTAATCTTACTTTGAGTTGAGAGAGTTTCGCTTGTTTTATTACTACTTTGCAATGCATGCATTTTCTAAAAACGACGCGAATTCGCCGGCGTGATTTCGATGAGAATCGTCAAGGGCCATGAATTTGAAGTATGTCTGCGGATACAAGATATGGAAATCGGACTATTTATAGTTCGTAGAGTATTTCCAAGTCAAATAACGCCTATACCTCACGACTATCAAGTTGAGCGTGCGAGAAATGAGATATGCAAAGCGTAGAAAATGCGAGGAATGTAAATATTATGTTATACGCCAGTAGGCAGTAACGATTGTCGATTTTTAAGAAAAAAAAACCCAAGTTGGCAAAACAAAGGAAAAAGGAAGGAAAAAATTGTTCATCTCAGCTCGATATTCATAGATGCAGCACGCTTGTGCCAACACTTGCAAATAAAATACGATATTTTGTATAATGCGATTAGTGAATAGTCTCATCTAACGTATATAATGTGATAAACATGATATGCTACAAAAATGATTTGTTATTTACGAGTATTTATTGCCAAATGCAGAATGACGGCTACTACATTTCTCTTTTCTCGTGTATCTCTGTTCTCTTTCTTCTCACTGTATCCTCCCTTCGATCCGCAAACATGTTAAATCTAAGACATTGCAAAAGATTTGATAATGTTTAATGTTGTTGATTTACTGAACGGGCAAATTCTCAGACAATCGATTCAGACCGAACAAAATAAAGAATGCGTGATAAAGAAAACAGGAGAATCAATTCGTTTAAATATTGCTTACTATGTGAAAGAAAAAATATAATCTCAAAAATGGAGAGGAACACAATATATAGGAATTACATTTAGATGCAATTCGATTTTATAATTCCTGTATAATAAATTCGTACAAAATCTAAAAAAGTTTATATACACTCTTCGCAGTAATAAATTTCATTTAATTGATAATCAATGTGCTACTGTACCGATTATTTAAATTAAACGCACGGATTATATCCGTGAACACATGCAGATGATTAAAGTGCATACGGATTTCTTTCTCATTAAAATGGAAGGAAAAGGAGAACGGAGCGGTTTTCTGAAGGACGTTCTAACCGACGCGGTCATTCTCACGAGGAAATCATATGTTACGTCAGCGCAAATGACGTTCGTTCTCGAACGTTGCTCCCACGAATGGAATTTTTCCTGATGAAATAAAAGTTTTGCCAATTGTCCAGAAATCCGTCGAAATGACTTGCGAATATCTCATTTTAGGATTATCGACAGTTTGAAAAAAATCCCATTCCCGATCTATTTCTACATTCACGAGAGAACGCTGTGTGATTAACTATTGATTAGTGCATGTTAATTCAGTATCTCGGACAACTGATGTGATTGATAATATCCGCATAATCTGATATATGCGTAATGCAGAATTGACAGTCATTCCCGTCCTCTTATTTTACACGGCATATTTGTATCGTCACATTAACATAATATGTTGCAACCAAGTAGAATATAATGTAATTTTTGTTGTATGCTGGAGTTGCATACTTAAATTGAACATTGTAGTAGAGATATGTAACAAAATTGTGGAATTTTTAAGTAGAATCACATTCGGCAAGTTTCACGTGCAAATTTATCAGCAGAACACAACAGATTTTTGTGTTAGTCTATGACATTTTTATATAATTTTAATATAATAAAATAATATTTTTCGTTCATTACTTCTTTAAAAAAAAAAAAAAAAAGTTTTCAAGTTGCTTAACAAATTTCTATAACTGTAAGGTTTTCCGTTCAAACGCGGAATTTAGAAATGTGCAAGGGTATGTGCACCTTCAAACACATAAGATAATAATACTTTGCGCGACGATAATAATACTTTTCAAGTAGCCCCGCGCGACTTTACGCAGATGCGGTGTGTTATCCTGTAACATACATTATACATTCCTCACGCCGAATAAACTACTGACATTCGTGTGCTCGCGAAAAAAATCCCGTTGAACCGATTGGCATATCATTTGAAAGGAAAATCACGCCGTGGTTCCGCTCGCATGTGAGCGAACATGCAAATATGCCAAGTGCGAAATTTATTACTGCAAACTAGAAAACTAGTAGCTTTGGACTCGCTAATGACTGATGGCGTTTTATGCATTTTTTTTTATCTAGAAGGTTGATTTGTAAATAGAAGAGATGCTCTCCGTAACTCGCGACGTAAAAAGATTTCGTGTCAATTCATAATCAAGGAATATCCTTGATTTACAGCATGATTTGTTAGATTCACACTTCAATACAATGTTACTGATAACATTTAGATTGTATATATGGAATATCATAATTCGACTCTTAATGCCACGTCTGATAAATTTGAAATATCTTTTAGCTGAAATATCAAAGTGTCAACAGTTTCGAAATTACAAACAAAAAAAAAGTTTTTCATAATATCTGAAATGTTAGTCTAATAAATTATTCGATAAGTACTCTCTTTGAGCTCTCTCGACTGTGAATTGACATTAAATCGACACAGATGCGTGCGCTACGTTTGTAGAAATTAACCATCCGCGGTTAATTTCGGAAGGCAATGATATCGCGTGTACGCAATGCCGTCGTCAGTTTCTCGGTCTCTTGTTGTCGTCCTCTCTCGCGGATATACGCACACGCTGCACGTCTTTGAGCGTTAGGAATAGATTTAGGAAGAGACGCGAGCTATGCGACGGGACGGCGGTTGCCAAGTCGATTCGCACATGAATGAGTTAGCTGCATGTGCGTACACGTGCTGCGCTAATTTATCGTGCCGACCGCGACGGTGGATAGAGCGAAGCTGCTGGAGGATGGAGAGAGAGAGAGAGGAAACTGCTCTTCATGCCGGTAGCGAGACGTTGCGGCCATTCGCGAATTTGTTATCTTCTCTCGTCCAGGCGCGTAAATCGCCATTCAAAGATTCGCACGATATTCTTAACGATGTGAGCCATTCTCGCGTAAATATTCTACACGTAGATATTCTACAGGCATTATTTGCGAAATATGTTTCTCCATTTCAGCGCTAAATAGCACGCTATTCGTATACCTGTGGTGATCATTTATATCACAATGTTATAAGAGAATATCATTAGTCAATTTTTAAATTTTCATCTTTTTACATATAATAATTATTATACATATAAATAAAATAATATCTAGTATTAAATTGCAAACTTGATCAAGTGAATTATTGATACATTTTTTCATATTCCGATATTTATATAACAGAAAGGATTCGTTCGAAGCCAATCGCCACTCCAGAGAATATGTGCTAATCTTAGGCGAAAGCGCGGCCATTCAAGCTCGAGTATAGAATAGAATGGCAAGCCGGGAGCTTTGTCGTCTGCTTCTGTGGAATGTCAGGAATCGTACTGCCTTCGTGAATGTGTCTATATCCAAAATGAAAGTTTCGGGATGATAAAGTCTCCGCAATTTTGGTTTCGATAGTACCGTTTCGTCCTAACTTTTTGAACGATGATGCGCAACCCTCGACGATTTAGATTAATATAATACATAAAATTTGACTACTCTTTTTTATTATTTCTAATAAAATATCCTGGTATTTCATAAGTATACACATGTATATTCTAAAATAAAAAAATATATATTTTTTTTTTATTTTAGAATTATTAAAAGCTCCTTTTTAAATCTTGTATGAAACATAAACTTTTAAAATAATAAAGATTATGTATTACAAACTAATGGAAATCTTCTAAGATTGATAAAAATCTGTTGTTAAAATTTATTTCTTAAAAGTACAAACTTAAGACTTCTTTAGTTGTCTTTCAATGTCCTTCCATAAAGTGATTCTTATGATGTTACAGAAGAAGAACCATTGGAGAACAGCAGAATAAATCTTTCGACTCATTTCCGAGGTACCTCTATGGTCTCTAGCACGCGAGTCACGCCGTCAACCGGATCAAACTCTGTTCAGCTGACTGCGCTCCATTCCATGTCGCATCATCACAATCCTCATCATCATTCTCAACAGCCACAGCAGCAGCAGCAGCAGCAGCAGCAGCAGCAGCAGCAGCAGCCGCAACAGCAGCCGCAACAGCAACAACATCAGCAGCAGCAACAGCAGCAACATGATCAGCAGCATCACCATCATAGTGATCATCATAGCACACATAATCATTATATGGAGAATCACAATCCGAATCAATCTCAGCAAAGTGTGGGAAACCTCGTTGTCGACGTCGAAACGAGCCACGACAATAAGAAGCATCGAACTGGGTAAGCTTGTCTAATTTTTCAATTTTTCTTTACGTTATTTTCGCGTCGTTCTTAGAAATATTGTAAACCCAGATTATTTTCCGTGACAACATTTAAGTGATTTTGCGGCGCCTGAATTTTCTGTATTTAATTGTATCACAAACTAAACTCTAGTTTTGCAATATCAAATTAATTGTAAGAATTGCGTTAAGAATTAAGAAATGGATCATGGATTAAATCGGGAAAAGACTTCATTAATTTACTCGTTTGTTGCATTATGCCTTATCAATACTGTTACATTCGAATTCTAAAATAGACGCGATAATGTCTCTGTCTACGATGGACACATACTTACGCGGCGACACCGACACATTCCATCGCGAGTCGATACGTCAGCCTGTTGCTTCGCGCGTTCTCGCCTCATCTTCTCTCCACTTCTCTCCTCTCCGCTCCTCTCCGAAGCACGAGCGACGCCGTCGCCGACGTTACAGGCGGCTATACCTATTTACGCTTTGCACGTGTCCAGGGTGAATGGCACGTGCACGACGCGTCGCTCGGCGCGTTGCATCGCATGGCGATAACGCGTGGCGTGGCGTTACGCGATCGCATCGTATAGAGCACGTAGAAAAGTATCGCAAAATTGCTGCTATAAAATCAGAAATTTAAGAATGAGAAGACAGAGAAATATTTCTCTTATTCATTTATTTCCATTTGTATATTGTTTTATCATTTATATTTTCTCGTTACAGAACGTGTGTAATTCGATCTGGTACCAGAGAAGTTCACAATAAGCTAGAGAAGAATCGGAGGGCGCATCTGAAGGAATGTTTTGAGCTTTTAAAGAGGCAGCTACCATCGCAAGATGAAAAAAAGTCTTCTAATCTTTCTATTCTCCATGCAGCGAACAAATACATACAGGTAAATTTTAGTCTGTTACGTAAAATGATAGCATGTTCCATTTTTTTTTTCTATTCCATTTTGCCGTCATCATAAAGCTGCACGATAAGCTATGATCCTACGAACAATTGCCAATTAGAAACGACGTGAGGAAAAAATCCTCCCCTCCGTCTTGCGCTGTTTCTTTCCTTAGTCCTTCCGCTCTCGGTATCCATCCCATCCCCTCCTCGTACTGTAGATTTCTGCTCCGATCGCTCCCTCCCTTCTCTCTCACGTATATCACGTACCATCTCTATAATGCGCGTTGCATTTTTTTACGAGAGGGATTACCTATATCGACTCCACGTGACCGCACGGCCATCGATGTCACACCGCATAGCACGTACAGCGCGCGCTGCTCTCCGGACTTTTATCGTCTAATGCTGTCAACTACCTATTAAGCACGGCTTAATTACATTTCGCTAGGACACCAAAAGCGACAAGAGCAACAATCAAAATTCCAACAAACAAATCTAAAACTTTAAAGCAAATATTTGTTTCGGAAATACTTTGGTTTCGAAAATATAAGACTATTGATCCATTATCTTATTGATTGATGGCACAATTAAGAATAAGGAATCAATTTTTCACGCGAAAAAAAAACATGTTTTTCCGACAAATAACTACTGTAATACTGAGAATATTGCAAATATTTTCGATTTTTTCGATAAATAATTTTAATAGTTTAATAAATATGCTATTCTGATATATATTGAAGGGAAGAAAAAAAATTACATTTATTATGTAAAAAGCAATGTAAGAGAAAAAAATTTTAATACAAAATGTTTCTTTTTGTACACCGCAGGCACTGCGAAAAAAAGAACGAGATTACGAACATGAGATGGAGAAACTCGCGAGAGAAAAAATCGCGAATCAACAGAGATTAGTGGCATTGAAGAAAGATCTCAATGCAACTTGGGATCACATCGACATTAATTCTCTTTTACTGGAACAGAACCCCGGGACGGATGCAACTGCTAAAAATGGTGAGATATATAATATTTATAATATTAAAAACTAGATGAAAAGTTTTATTATGTCAAAGAGATTGCTCTTTATCTTATAATGAAAAGATTTTTTTACAAGTAAAACTTCTTTATTTTGCAAGCAGATTTAGATTCAATTCTCTTTTGTCTGAAGTTTAAAAACGATTAAATAAAAAATGTATGGAATTTTATTTTGGAAAAAATTTCATGATTTTATCTATAATATTTGTTCAATATTTTTAAATGCTTTTCTCTCTCTCTCTCTCTCTTTTAAATTTTCATTTCCGTTTGATTTTTTATTGATTTTTGTTTGAGAAGAGAATTTCTCTATATTGTAGACGCAATTTTTTTTTATTTCGAGAGAAAGAAAGTTTATTTTTACAAGTAAGAATAAACAAATTTATTTTTTTCTGATAAAAATCTCTTTAACTAGTTTCAGAAAATACGGAGGTTGATGTTACTGGACTACCACGGGGTGGCACGAGGTATAGCAGCACGAGCAGTGTAAACAGCGTGACAACGGCCAGTTCCCCGCAAGCATTACAGTCCACTAGCACTACTTCCAACATTCATAATCAAGCCGCGACCGCGGGTGTTGTTTGTCAGACGCAAGACCTGAATCTTGCACGAAGTTCCAGGGAGAGTCCACCTGTGAGTTCGACTGCTGGAACGGCACCTGCACCCAGCATTTCTACTCCAGCACAGGTATGTTCTCTCTTAAATGAAATGACGAAATTATTTCCGCACCATATCCAAGGTGAGATCATAAATATTGTGATTTTGCAATAAATTGGTGCCAGAGCAAATCACCACGCATTTGCAGAGCCGTTTACAGATTGTTACTGGAAATGGCTTTGAAAATACGTGACATGCCTTCATTACTTTATTGTATTTGCCATGTAAATTTGGTTATTCCTAACACTATCTATGCTAATCGAAACAAATTTGCTCCTTCGTGTTTGTTGAGCTCTTTATTTGGCCTGGATTCGTCGAACGCGCGTATGAAAATTCATATAGCCAAATATATATAGATTTATTAGCATTGAAAGCGTTAAAGATTAACATGCAAAAGAGTAGACAGGATGGCATTTTCGTTTCAGGAGAAAGTCACTACGTCGTCCACCGCCAGTATAGTGCAGCAACCGCATCAGCATCAGCTTCACCTGCCGATCAACGCCCAGATGTTGAACACGAGTCAGGGCCTTGCGACCATCGTGCCAGCCTTGCAGCACATTGGGCCGGGACTCAGAGTAATACCGGGCGATACGCGGCAGCTCTTGGTCACCCACACCACTGGCAACAATGAATCCAGACCTCTGACACTGGCGGTGCAGAACTCTTCGGATCAGTCCAGACCGCTGATCGCTGTGCAATCAAATACTGGAAACGAGCCAAGGCCCGTGGCGCTGGTCGTTCACTCGTCCAATGCCAACGATAACAGAGTGACATTCGTGCACTCAAATCTATCCAACAACGACAGGCCGCTGGCCCTGGCCGTGCAATCATCTGCGAATGACGTTCGACCGGTCACTTTCGTGCACTCGGGGAACGAGGGTCGATCTTTGGTCCTTGCCACGCATTCACCGGCATTGAATGTATCAAGTGAGTATACACTTTTATAGACAGATTTAATAATATAGGTTATATTATTAAACCTAACCTAATATCATGAGAATCCACGCGCGCATGATACTTTTCTTATAACTGAAAGGTGATATAGTCCAATAGGTGATTTGGTGATTTTTATTCTAGAATTTTCGCGAGACATAGACAGGATATAAGCAAGTTAGTTTAGATTTCTTGAATGAAAATTTTTCGTCGTTGTAGATGCTCAGACAAGAATAAGAGCGGGAGACGCACAGAACACGCATAAGATGGTCGGTGGCGTAACGCTCGTCGGCGGTAATGGCTCGGAATTGGCAAGACTTCCCGGTGGCGCGGAACTGAACATACTTCCGGCAAATGGTGTGTATTACAATACAATTTTTGTTTTGTTAGTTTCACGGCTATTATTTGCATTCGGAATGTTTGTTCCGTTATTACGAGCATTGTCGCATGCTGCGATACGATACGACAAAAAACTTGATGCGTTCGGTATTTTGTGATTGCAGGATTAACTTTAAGTCATGGAGTGTCACTTCAAACCGCTGCAGGCAAACCAGCCTCGACAATGATGCAGAACTCTCCGTCCACAGAGAGTATAGCTCACCTCGTCAGTCAGCACGCGCCTCTCTCCGGCCTGACTCCGATCGTCACGCCGATGACCGTCGTGTCTCAAGGTAGTCAGGTGACCGCTCACATTTTAGCACCATCGAGTCTTGCGGGGAAGATGATTACTACCCCGATCCTCAAGTCTGTAGGACAAATGCCGCTCGTAAACGCTCAGTATCTTAACACCACGACTTTAGTGAAACCGGTAGTCGTGGTGAGCTCACCGTCAACGTCGACAGCGTCCTCAACGACGGTGGCGACAGCTTCCAATACACAACCTTCTTCGACCTCGAATTCGACTGTCTGACAAAATCAAGGAAAGGCAAAATTAATCTGATTGCGCTGGAATATATCAAAATACGGTTTGCTGATGTTACGAGTAAATCTCTACATTTATCTAAAATAAATAATCTATTTTTTGTTATTTGTTGGAATCGCTTAGCTATATTAATGATGAATTTGCGAAAATATGAGCGATTTAAATTTGAAAATTTTTACGACAGACAGTAAACGAAAGAATCTTACGCGAGATAAATTTTTGTCTTTATTGTGCTATTTCTAATATCAGTGGTCTTGCATTTTGAAACGTCATTTGTGTCATATAAGAATTAACATTCGAGATAGGAGCTCTTCCGAAGGATAAATTGACTGAGAAAATGTGAGAAAAAGTCCTTGCTCAACACATGCGATCCATTATCGCATACGATACCTTGATTTTATTAAGGGGGATAGTTTATCACGTAAATTAAATATAAAGTTCAAACAATTAATTTATGACAATAGCCCGAGTGTCAAGAAAACTTTCATGTTAGCATGTTTGATGAAATTAATGCTTTTAAGACTGTTAAATTGGCTTGACTACTGGTCTTATGTTGCTATTCGGATCATTGTTCGTCATATTCTCGATCGGGAATTCTTTCATTGTGCTTATTCTGACAAGGATTTTTTTCTTAAGTGTTTTATGTTACTTTATAAGAGAGAGTTCTAAATACTTTTTCCATAAACGAAACGAAAGAAAGCATTGACTTGCAATAAAACAAATTTTACTTTTTGCATAACTTTTAAATTGCTTGACTCTGTTTTGTGAGATCCATAAATTGACAAGTTTCATCATAGCTAATTGAAGAAGTAACACAAGAAATGACAATGACGATACACTTAGAACAATGTTAAATTAAGGAAAAGGATTTAATTATTTAATGAGCGGAGATTGGCAAATCGAAAATGAGTTTTTGTCAAATCGTATTTCTTGAAATTGATTTTTTTAAAAACGGCTGTGTAATTAGAACGGATTGAACTCTATATGGAGGTCTGTCTGTTTAATTTCGACTATCCAATCACAAGATGTATTAAATCTTGTTAAAGCGATAATAAACTGGAAGTTATTTAGAAACTGACAACATTATTAGTAGGTTTGTAATAATACATATTAAGTATTTATTCCTATATATTTATTATATGTTTATATATGCGTATTATACAAATAGCTATCACGCTTTTCACGAACGCATAATTGCAACGCGCTACGAACATATTAATTTCTTTATGCTCAGATTTTGTTACATGGGAAAATTTAGAAATATTTAACATATATTTTAAGTCGTCATCATCATCATTGTGATCTGTTTCATTGTGAATACGTGTGCATTGTAACGTTCCGTGCTTTTATACATTCATTTCTGTAACGCGATCCTTGCATAATAACCGAATGCCTCGAGAATATATATATATATATATATATATATATATATGTAGAAGAGAATGATAATGCTCACAACTAATTGAAAAGCTAGAACGATTGCACGCATTGATCAAACGATTGAACTATGTTTCATTATTTTCTTTATATATGAAAATCGTTCGATAAATAAGATACAAATCAAAATTACATCAAACTATTTATTTACAAGTCAGGAAGAAATACGATAAAATTTACGTATAAATGTTTATTTTTTCACATAGTCACCGTAAGCATTGAAGCATTTACAATTTTTTTTAGGTAATCTTTTTATTAAAAATCCATATAGTAGGTCCGGACAGTGAATGCTGTAAAACTTTTCACTTCTATCGGTCCATTTGAGAATCGTAAATATTTAAACTTGTGAAGATGCTAGATTATCTTAATGCTAACGGTGACTTTGTAGAAAAATTAATTTGTAAGTTCTTATACTTTTTTTCCTGATTTTTTGAAAACAAATTTTGATGTAAATTGGGGATGACACATGATCTATGAAAATGATAATTTCAAATCGATTTTGATTCCTCTCAGTTTTATACGAGATTTATTGGACAATTAAAAGTTGTGAGTGAGAAAGTTTCGAGGTGATAATGGCAAGCCGTTAATGGAGTGGGAAATTGAATGATAAATATTTCAATTTTGATGTAATTTTGATCTTATTTATCGAACGATACCTTGTACGTTCGTTCATAAAATCGTATTATATATGCTTCTGTTTGGTATTCCAGTGATGAGATCGTCAACAGTGACCACCAGAACAATGAATTCACTTGAGATACGTATTTATCACGCGAGAAATCACGACACGTGATAGTTGATATTCTCAGTGCATGATGTTTATACAACGAAATATTTTTCCGATGTAATTTAACGCGTAATGTAACGTTTCCTGCACGATTGTTGACGGTCTCTCTCTCTCTCGGATACTAGCCCTCGTTTGTGCATATTATTACTACTTTTGTGTATATTAGTACTATTCCTCCACATATCTGTGTAAAAACTTGTTTTGCATCCCTTAAATTATTTAATCGCGAATAGTATGATTAGTGATTCGAATTAAGATGTAAATGCGTGCCTTAGGGGCTACAAGAGATCATATACTTTGATTGGCAAAACATTGTTCAACGTTTAGAGCAGACAAATGCTAACTCGGTAAAAACTCGATATAAGAAAAATTCTTCAAGCTATAGATTACACACAATTTGTTTATATTACTTAATCTACTGTGTATAAATACTTCCTTTCTTTTTCAAATCTTAGGTCGTTATACTAAATACACAAATCTCCTGAATTTTCATTTAAATCTCGATGCTGCTGGCGTCTCTAATGGAAATGGGAGGAGAAGTTAATCAATTAAATTAATGTATTTGATAAAATTAATTGTTCATTGTCGTATTACGCGCTTCTTATAATGTTTGGCATGCAATGGGAAAATTCAATTTGCAATAAAGACGACGAGAAACCGAACGAGAAATCCGGTTTGAGGTACTAGTCAGAAACAAAGTTTTGTTGAATTATATTTTCGACGCGGACGCTTTTATTCGACGAAACCTCAAGTCGTGCAACGGATGCAAATGATTATACCACATGCCCTGTATAACACATATACACCACATGAAAGAAACACAAACCTACGAGCGGGACTAGAACCGAAAGAAAGATAGAAAAAGAAAGAAATGTGATTGGAAAATATCGCTTCTCTGCGATATTTCGCAATCAGCTGTTTTTAGCCGCGACTGAAACCTCTGTCGGTAATTATTTAAGCGATGTAATAGCCTCATGTAAATAATAATTTCGTTTAGCGAAGATAACCAAACGGGTCGAGACAGAATGTTCACGACGGATGGAAACTAAAGATATAGTATAGCACTGAGCACTCAAGCTAAATGAATAATGTGAACAATGTGATATAAATGATAAATAAAAAATTAATTAGCACAGTAGCGTTTAAGGAGAAAAAAAATCAACTATTAAATCGTTTACGGTGTAGATAGACGCTGGTAATTATCACTTACTAATATCTTAAAAAAAGAGAGAGAATGTCAAAAAATTGAATTGTATATAGAAAATACGAGAAAGAGAAAAAGAGCGGGAGGGGGGGGGGCAAAGAGAGAGAGAGAGAGAGAAAGGGATTGTAAGATACTGTATAAATATATTGAATCTGAGAAAAGGAGAGAGAAACGATCGCGATACAACGTGACATTCGTGATGGACTGTGCCGGATGAAACATTAATTGTCACGTCGATAGTAAAAATCGCCAATACCGCAAATATCCCACATAACATCTACAAACTATATTTAGAGACGGCAATGTGCGGAATAAGTGTGCGTTTTGAGACTGCGTGTTGGAAGAGTACAGTGCGTATGTGTGAAAGAAGTGTGTAGTAAAAAAAAAAACGTTATTATTGTTGTAGTCTATATCGAATTTTGTTATATGCCTCGACTAGCGCATGATACGTCTTACGACGCGGTTCGTTGTGCGTAAGAACAAAGTAAGATGAAAAGCAAAAACAAATGCTATGTGTGTGAGCGAAGGAGAGAGTGAGAGAGAGAGAAGAGAGCGTGAAAGGACGAATGGCAAATTAAGCGCCGCCGAAGGGATCGATCTCTTCGTACGCGCGACAGTTTTTGTTAAAAAAAGAAAAGTGTGTGATGAAATTCAGTACAGTCTATTACAATAAAGATTAAAATGTGAGTGTGACGATTGCCCAATTCTCCTTGCAGTTGTTTAGTATCTACGCCGATTCGGGACTCTCGGTTCGATCGATGTCCGCGATGTTCAAAATTATAACAAGGATAATCGTACATTTGTTTTATATTCTGCGTATATTTTTGAATAAATTTGTAACATAATTCAAAGGCTTATGTAGTTTATTAAATTATTAATGTCAAACGTATGTGAAAGAGAAAATTGCATTGATCGTATGCGGAATATATTTTTGAAAAATATGAATTTAAGACAGATTTGAGTGAACGAGCGCCTTTGATTTGCGAGACGATCAACTTTGTAAAATCAGTATCATTTGACAACGTAAACAAATTGCGCTTGAGGGTTCGGATCGAGAGTAACGAGCTCGGCGGATTCATCGCGCTTCTACCACACATACGAGATAAGTAGCGATCGGAAAGATTTCAAGAAAGGAAATTCGTAATAGCGATATATACCTCCGTCTCGAATCGCGGAAGAGCAATCGTGTGAAATTTGATGCGAAGAGCCGATTTTCTAATAGACTGCGACCGCGACTGCATCCGCATTTGGGCTGTCAGCAAGCGAATCGTCCTCGAAGGCAGATCAGACCGAGTGTAAAAATCAAAACTGAATCTGCCTTTTATAACGGCTAGTGTTTAGAGATTAAAAGGCACGTTCGATCAGATGCGACGCCGACGCGAACGTTCCATCACATCGGCCTGTCGATTCCTCGGAGAAATTAGAGACGAGGAAACGTTCCAAACGAATTTTAGGTCACTCAAAATTGTAACATACGCAATCTCAAAATCGAAAAAAATGTTTAGATCTAATTCTTTTCGCTGTAAAGGCATCAATGAAATTACTCCATTCTCCCGATTTTGTTTTTATCGCAACTGCAGTATCATAAAAAAACTGTACTCTTCTTGACTTATTTAATGAATAATTTCATGGAAGTATACATTTTTTTAATGTTCAGGATTTTAAGTTATATATGTATAAATTGTATCCCCCCCACCCCGGCCCTACGCATTTTTATTGAGATTGTCAAATCATTCGGGGCATAATCGATTAACGTGATAGTGCGTTCGCTGTGCACTGCAGCTGGAACTGCGGATTTCTAGAAACTAACAATAAAACTATTTAGCTCTTATCCGATTCATACATATGTAAAATCGACTTTGAGATCTGTCTCCTCGTTGAATCATGAAATCGATCGGCGCGTCTTTCCCTTGTGGCTGACTTGCAGACAAATAAATTGATGAATAGTTTAGCCGCGTTATTTTCTTAAACCCCCTCAAATTTTTGTTAACTAATTAATTTGCTTGGTACAACAAATTGCTTGGCAAAATGCTCGTTGCAAAATGCATGACGATTTGCTTAATTTAAGAAACAAACTTATTCAAATTGATCGCACATGTCGTATACATATACATATAGTATGTATGCACAAGATTAGATTAAAATGCTCTTCTGCACTTTGCGTAAAATACATTTGAAAAAAGATGTAAAAAAGGTGTCTATGGGCGTAATTTATATTGTTAGATATAACATCTATAAAAAGTGATTTTATGAAACATTAAATATTTCGAGGATCATAAAAACTCTGGTATTCCACAACAAGCATATTTTATTTTTTAATTTTTGATTTTTCAGAAATCATTTTAGGACTCTATGGAACAAAACATCACGGATATATATATATATATATATATATACATACATTGCGTCAGAGAGAAGTGTGAGAGCGGCCAGCCGGCTTTTTGGGTGGGACCAGCGATCTCCCCCGGACACTATAGCGCCCCACGTCCCGTTTAAAAAAAAAAAAACTATCCACGTCTATCTTTAACATTGTCGATTAAATCGTAGCACGAGACACGAGGCACGTGGACGTGGTCCGTGCTACGTGCACAAATTGTGAATAAATATATCACGTTTATTTTGCGATGTTAAATTGTTGATGAAATGACATTCCAATTCATGTCTGTACATATACTACATCCACAAATTGTAGGTGAAGAATATGTGGCATATATAATGCACGATTAGCACGAACCACGTCTACGTGCCTAGCCGCGCTGCGCGTCTTGTCAGAGGCTCGAAAACTCCTGCCGATACGCGGAGAACATGTTGAGGAAAGAGGTGGCACGGAATCCTACTAATCCTAGCCAGCGCGCCTCGATACAGAGGCTGAAAAACTCCCGCTGATACGCGGAGAACATGTTGAGCAAAGAGGTGGCACGGAATCCTAACCAGCGTGCGTATCGACAGAGGCTTGTTGGTAAGGTGAAAAACTGCTGAGCGAAGAGGCACGGAATCCTGGACAGCAGGCCTCGTCAGAAGCTCGAAAACTCCCGCTGATACGCGGAGAACATGTTGAGCAAAGAGGTGGCACGGAATCCTACTAATCCTAGCCAGCGCGCCTTCGATATAGAGGCT